AAAAGAAAAAAAAAACTAAACACATGCTCACATGATACATGCGAATTTTAAAAATTGTTTGTGAACTTCCGATATATTTTAATATTTCTCGAAAACAAACTTACATCCAGTTTAAGTCTCTTCACGCAGTGTATTATATGAAGCTTAGCAACATTACTACTGAAATTTACAATGGCTGTGTTTTTAACTGCAAAATGCTGTAAAAATGCTGCAATAAAAATTAGTTTGTCAGATCATAAGATTTTTTTCTTGATAAAATCTTGACTTGTCATGGGTAGCAAATGTGCCAGACTACACGTTCCTTCATGATCAGTCATCCTGTGACATCTACTATGAGTGTTATTTCCCAAAGCAGTCACATTGCTATAACAATATTTTTTTAAATCTCATTTTCATTTTTTTTAATCTTATTTTAATCTCAATAAACACTGATGCTTGCAGACACTAATAACTAGGCTACATTATTTAAGGGCGCTCATTAGGATCAAACCTATAATTCCTTTTTAACAGGAGTGTAGCCACGAGTGTGCCGGTGCCTACAATAGATGCATATATATACATACATTTGTCAGCGATTTCTCAAAACCTGTCGGCGAGTCAAAATTGGGGCTAAAATCATGCAGTCTGAACTAGGCATTAAGGCTCTATGCTGACTATTTGTAAATATTGGCTACTGTAGCATAAAACAATTTTGTTGTTTACATATGATATTGCATTAATTTGCATACGTGTTTTATAAGCTGTAAAATGAAAATCTTAGCTTTGGATTTGTTTGATTGGTAGATAAGGCTATGTTGGCTAATTAAAGATTAACATTATAACTATTAATAACTGTTATTTTCCAAATGGAAAAAAAGGTTTGTTTGTTGGTTGAACACTAAGTCATCAGTAGCCTGTTTATTGAGTTTATGACACGGCTTCAGGCAGCACAGAGGCGATCAGCATCAGCGCTGGTTTGTCAGCTTGTCTGTCAAGCTGTGACCAGAATATCCTTCTTTCATTTTAGTTCTTTAACAAAATACATCTGTAGGCACGTGTGGTACATTACTGTTACTGCAGGCGCTTTTCCATTCCAAAAACACAAGGCGCACTGATAACAAAAAAACAAACAAAAAAAAAAAAAAGAGCGCGGTGCTCTTTTTTATGTCACAAGAAACGACTGAATCAGCTGAGCCGAAATGTTTCGCGAGTGTTCCTGTCAATGTTGTGATAATTGTAATTTCAATAGCATTAAGATTTTCAAAACTTTTAAAAGTCATAGTCTTCAGCTTTGAATTACTTTATTGGCGCAGCCACTTTGTATAAGATAACCGGTAAATAATCTTAGATTACACGAAGGTAAAATAACACACTTCTCTCCTAGGTTTTCTGAAACCGCACACCCGATAGTAACACTAACAGACTTGAAGCAGCGACCACAAGTTTCTCCTCCATCAATAAAAGCTCGCTGTAGTAGTCTTGACAACACAAACTCTGCTGTCACCTCAAAGGAAAAGCGTTTGCTTTCATTTGATTGAAGACTGAAAAAGACGCAAGGTAAAACGCTTTTTCCACTTGAGCGTACATCACGCCCAATGGCAAAACGTTAGTAAACCATTCAAAAGATGCACTTCTCAGTGTCAATGCAAAAAGTTTTAGCTGTGATCGGCCCCGTATGCAGCCAAACACTAAAAATATGTAAAACAATATTTTTTAATCATTTAACTGATGCAATTAATCGGTTACAAATGCACCCTTTCGGTTAATAGTTAAACGCTTATTTTAAGCATCCCTACTTGGGGAAAAAAAAAAGAATTCGAATCGGATCGGTAGGCTTAAGGATTGATATTCTGAATTATGGAGATCAGATTGGTTCCAATGGGATTGCATCCCATTTTAAAATAATCTAATAATAACAAATTAAACCGTGATTTCACGTTTTTAGCCAAAAAGCCTGATAGATTAATTGTTGTGCAATGAAATATAGCGTTACTAACCGACGAGGAAACACATAGACAGTGTTTCTACATTATTTATTTATAGAAAGAACGGGGAAAATGATGGATTAGTGCCGAATATTAGCATCATTAACCCATAACAATGTACAGCATCTAAACTGTCAGTATGTTTGTGTGCTCTTTATACAGTTTCTATTGTAATTTGCAGTTAAGTAGAAAAAATAAATAAATTGAATTACAAGTGAAAGTATAAATAACAGAAGTAAACAAATAGATTTTCCCTATCAGCAAATATTAGTCCGATAAAAGCAGACGCTAACACACTATAATGACTAAATCTCTAAACAATGGACGAAAAGATAAGTGAATTGTAGCTCTAACTTGGACATGAGGCTTAAAAAACTACAGAAAAAAGCTGCGGATGAAGAAAATTAATCGCAAGTGATGCTGGGTCCGGAACAGATGGAAATATGATTGCTATTAGTATGACTACGGCGAGGGCTTAAACGGAGAATGCTCATAATATCGAGCAAAAAAAAGACAGCTGGGAAACATAACCTGCTTTGTATTTTTAGGGTAAGAGGTGTGTGAGTTATTGTCATCTGTCATTGAATGTGTCAAGAATCGAAAACAAAACCAACTTAACTCTGCTCCTTTAGCACCCCTCCTCACACAGCTTGATCCACGTTGGCATTTCCCCCCTTGGATTTTTGATTTGAAAAGGGAAAATTCCACCACCCCATATAAACTTTTAGGATACCAGGTATCAGATTTGCACAATCCATGTGCATTTGTCCTGCTTCCCTCGCTCTAAAGCTTGACAGGCCACCTGCCCATGGTTACGGTTGCTAAGCCACGATTGGTCTGTGGCTAAGTAAAGGGTCAATTATGTAATGAATCAATAATTTATCGATAACGATAATTTTTCAAATAGCATTTACCGGTTGTTGATATGGCATGTATATACATGAAATATATAATGTGCTGTTTACGCCAGATATGATCACTTTCTTCAGCATTTCTACAACTCCTTATTTAGATCTTTAAATTTGTAAAAGGAATTCCATTGCTAAAAACACTTATACCAAACTGGATTAGCTTTAGTAATTACATTATGTGAGTTATGGTGAAGAGATATTATTCATTCTGTTATGTTTTTAAATATTACTATGAATGATGACAAAATGCTTTTTGAGAAACTTGTGCTTTATGCTAATTGCTTTGCTCAGCCCTTTACAGTTTTGATTTGTTACAGTATGTTTGTTATAGTCAAAGAAAAAAAGAGTTTATATACCGAAAGATCTTGTCTGGCAAGAGTCATTTAATGAATGCTCTAATAAAAGATTACATGTTCACAGTGCAGCATGCAAATGGTGATTAATTGTCATTTTAAATCTTTACACTTTGCTGTTATATTTAAAGCCACAAAGTTTTACCCATTTATCAGTAAGACAATTTCTAGCATTTAAAATCTTATACAATATATAATGAGCACTTATTGTTTTATGTTAACTATTGCATGTCATAAGTGTGTTGTATCAATTTTGAATAAATATGTTATGCTGAATGCCAAGTGGATGTTTAATATTCTTTCTATGCAAATAAAAATCTCTCTTTGTAAACTGAATTGGCTTCAGCTATCAGAATGGGGCATCTTTTCATTGTTTGACTTTATATTTCTTAGAACATATGTACTATTTAAACTGGTTAATTTTCAATGGCTGGTACTTTACAAAAAATTGGAAAAAAATTATATATATATATATATATATATATATATATATATATATATATATATATATATATATATGTATATATATATAGGCCTATATATATATTCACTATATATATATATAGGCCTATATATATATTCACCACACACACACACACACACACACACACACACACACATATATATATATATATATATATATATATATATATATGTGTGCGTGTGTGTGTGTGTGTGTGTGTGTGTGTGTGTGTGTGTTTGGTGAATAACGGAATGTTGATTATAGACAACTTCGCCATTCCCAAAAGTTACAAAATAAATTCAATAAAAGTAAAAACTAAAACCTTGTTATTTGAAAGGCTATAAATGAATAACTCTCTGACAGCAGATATTATCTATTATCAAAATGATCTATTTCAAGCCTTGCTTACACCTCAATCACCTTGGACTAAAGTGAAAGGGTGAAAAAGGCAATAAAACTGAAAGAAAACTTTATCCCATATATTACTAAATATGATTTATATTATATTACATGTTTAACCTATTGTAGCCTTTGTACATTTTTGGATTATTTATTTTTAATCTGTTTAGCAACAAAATAAAATTAGTAACAATTTTCTCTTAGAATCATATAGGCTACTAATAAATGCCTTCAGTTATTGAAGTTTAAAGTTAGAACTCTGAAACACATTTATGTAACAGAACAAAAGCTGCTCCCTCTGCTAACCATCACATGTGTTTCAGTCTCACTCACTGACTCTCTAGAACCCACGTAGTTAAACCAAGGTGGCCCTCTAGTGGAGTCAATACGCAATAACATTATAAGTGCATATAACACAACACTACATAAAAATGAAAGTGAAAGCATTCACTAACTCATGATTCAGCATTTAAACATCAAGCAGCAGCCCAAACCTCTCTCTGCGTCTCAAGATACAACTAGTGAGTAACCTACTTTGTTTTACTTTAATTTACTTTAAACAATTTCCCAAGTTTACCACTGTCAAATGTGTTAGCCTTGTGTGCATGGGTTTATGAGGTTTGAAAGTGCATTCACACCGATCAAACCTAGAAAAAAACTAGCTTGCTTAAAAAAGCACACTGTGTTTTTCCACGACATTTAAATTGCGCAACTTGCTCTCCACAAGCTTAACAGCATACCAGTGCTGCTGCACTGTAGGCTCAATATTAATCCAAGATAGAGAGAGGGAGAGAGGTTATCTATGCGTGCACTGTAGGGTACCGTCCAAAGCAGACCGTGAGTCTCTTCCATCACGGTACAGTTGTGTCGGGGGCCAAGCTCTGGCATTGCAGGCTACCACAGAGTATAAATGTCTTAAAGCATGTACTAAAACTTTGAGTGCATAAAATCGCAATATGTGAGATATTTTGAAGTGCTGTTTTCATGTGCATTTTTAAGAATTGTACCCTTTATATTATAAACCAGTTTATCCTTTTACTTTTACTTTGTACACAGGCTGAACAATGGATAAGTTCATAGGAGATTTTCAGAGACGTCTTCATAAGGAAGTATATGGCCTGAGGGAGGTGTCTATCCTTGACCATTGTGGTTTCATACTGTATTTCTGCCTCATTACTTCTCGTGCTGGAACTGACATTGATGCTGCAATCAGAAATCTTATGCTTGTGCAAGGTCACTTACCAATTTAAAGCTTGATTCATGATCAATCACAATTTATTTACTGATTATTTACTGTGCACTTTTAATTGCCTTGCAGCTGACAAACAAGTCATCATTGCTGTGCTTTATCCTACAATTGACCCTGAGAAAACCATACCAGACAGCAACAATGCTATAAAGAAAGAGAACACATATCTAGTCGACTTTCTTTTCAACGAGGATGAAGGGTTCATGAATTGTCAGAAGAATAAAGATGCAATCAATAAACTTGCAAGGTACATCAAGTCCATGGTAGGTCTGCTTATCACCATGGCTATTGTCATGACATTTTCTCAACTGTAATTTATTGACAAAAATAGAGTAAAGTATTATTTGATGATGATTTTGATGCATTCTCTTGATTTATTTAGTCATTTTTGGAGATGCTGTTGTAGAATAATTATCTAGTTTTATTGCATTAACTGGAAGTTCTAAAATCATGACTGTTTTTTTCGCTTTTCCTTTTTATTGTATTAATGAATACATTTTTATTATATTTATTTCCAATTCAGAATCTGACTTCATATTACTTGCAAAGTAAGTATTCCAAGTTTAACTTATTCTGTATGTTTCTCTTGTTATGTTATATTAAAAAGTATTAATTAAACAATTCTTAAAACAAATGAGGAATGCAAAGGAATAATTTTTTTTAGTATCTTATATTAAATGTGCTTCATATTCATATATTGTACCATATACACTTGTAATCATGTTTATTTTTCTGCACACTACTGATTATTAATAGCAACCTGCACATATATTCATATATTGTAAATCTGCTCATAGCTTATCCAACCTGTATATAATGTTCATAGTACATCCATCTGTAAATATCACCATAGTTTTCTATAACTGCACTTTATAACTTATTCCTGTATCCTGCACTTGCTGCTATTGCACTGCTGGTTAGACCCAAACTGCATTTCGTTGCATTGTACTTTTACATGTGTAATGACAATAAAGTTGAATCTAATCTAATCTAATATTTTCTTCAAAAGATTATGGAATTCCACGTACATACTTATACCAGAATAGAGATTTTCCTGTAACCATCGGAGGACACCGAATCCGAAAAAAATGTTTTTTTTATTTTGGTGTTTTTCTCATTCTCATCATTTGCTTAATTTATCTTCTGGTAATTCAAGGGTATCATGGTAAAACTAACTATCTAAATAAAGACAGAAATGACACTGTAAAACATGATTACAGTTTCTGAACTGATGATGAAAAAAAGAAAAAAAAGACAGCTGTGCTGATGCCAGAAGACCATAAGTATAGGAGCAATTTGTAAGCTTTTACACGTGTAAATTTAATTAACAAACTACCGAAATTTACTCATAACAACTTGTTAAAGCACTAATATATGAAAGTCACATAATAAACCCAAAGCTAATTGCAATTTTAGAAGTGAATTTCAGTAATTGTCACTAAGCTTCATATAACACACTGCATGAAGATAATTGAACTGTGAATGTACAGGTAAGTGTGTATTAGAGATACATTACAATATACACAAAGTTCACACGCAATATTTAAGATTTGCATGTAGTTTGTAACTATTTTGTTTGCAGGAATATATATGCTGTGCTGTTTACCCCAGATATGATCACATTCTTTAGCATTTGTACAACTCCTTATTTAGATCTTTAAGTTTGTAAAATGAATTCCATTGCTAAAAACACTTATACCAAACTGGATTAGCTTTAGTGATTACATTATGTGAGTTATGGTGAAGAGATATTATTCATTCTGTTATGTTTTTAACTATTACTATGAATGATGACAAAATGCTTTTTGAGAAACTTGTGCTTTATGCTAATTGCTTTGCTCAGCCCTTTACAGTTTTGATTTGTTACAGTATGTTTGTTATAGTCAAAGAAAAAAAGAGTTTATATACCAAAAGATCTTGTCTGGCAAGAGTCATTTAATGAATGCTCTAATAAAAGATTACATGTTCGCAGTGCAGCATGCAAATGGTCATTAATTGTCATTTTAAATTTTTACACTTTGCTGTTATCTTTAAAGCCACAAAGTTTTACCCATTTATCAGTAAGACAATTTCTAGCATTTAAAATCTTATACAATATATAATGAGCACTTATTGTTTTATGTTAACTATTGCATGTCATAAGTGTGTTGTATCAATTTTAAATAAATATGTTATGCTGAATGCCAAGTGGATGTTTAATATTCTTTCTATGCAAATAAAAATCTCTCTTTGTAAACTGAATTGGCTTCAGCTATCAGAACGGGGCATCTTTTCATTGTTTGACTTTATATTTCTTAGAACATATGTACTATTTAAACTGGTTAATTTTCAATGGCTGGTACTTTACAAAAAAATTGGAAAGAATTATATATATATATATATATATATATATATATATATATATATATATATATATATATATATATATATATTAGGGGTGTCACGATTTCGATCGAAATTTATGCTCAACTTCGATTATCGAATCAAAAAATAGAATCGTCAATGCTGCCACTGCCCCATGTCATGTCAGCTTGGCTTGCCAAGCGAGAAAAAACAGGCTTGTTGAAGTGCTTGTTAAACTGCAGACGCAGGAGACCCGTCAACAGAACTTAAACCCTCTCCTCTTTCAATGAAGTCGCCGGTGTGTAAGCATTTTGGATTTCCAGTGAGTTATGTTGACAACGTTCGTGTTGTCGACAAAAAAAACACAGTTTTGCTAGCTCTGCTATGTATTGTGTACGGTTTGTCCGATAGACAACACAGCATCGCAATCCTCCGCCCACCCCCGTTGCAAATCTGCTTACGAAAAGTACACACTTAGGCCCTGTTTACACTGTGTTTGTTTTTAAATGGCATTTTAGAACGACAACGATTTGACATCCACAGTGGCGTGTAGCATTTCTTAGCAGCCCTCCTTCCTCTCTACCTCTGAAACATCACGTGACCACACAGACACAGACGCACACACAGCCATGAGCTTGAGACAGCAGGTCCAGGCAGTCAGAGGACTGCTTCAATCTTTCACTCACTTGTACTTTGTCAATTTAGCAAACACCTCAGATACTGTTGGCTGGTTCCTGTTGGTTGTGCGTCTTTTTTACAGACGCCATTATAACGACACAGATCACTGCCTATTCATGAGTCCCGCAGAAAAAGTGATTGACAGGTGTTAATTATGTGTGTATCTTGCCTTTATTCATTTACTGTATGATTTGTTTATCGGTAAAACAAAGACCATGCAGGTCTGGTAGTTTAAACGGTAGGCTACAAATAATTAATTGGTAATTAATTAATTAATTATTCATAATCGAAAATCGAATCGAATCGTACCTTTAGAATCGAAAATGTAATCGAATCGAGGATTTGGAGGATCGTGACACCCTTAATACTTAATATATATATATATATATATATATATATATATATATATATATGTGTGTGTGTGTGTGTGTGTGTGTGTGTGTATGGTGAATAACGGAATGTTGATTATAGACAACTTCGCCATTCCCAAAAGTTATAAAATAAATTCAATAAAAGTAAAAACTAAAACCTTGTTATTTGAAAGGCTATAAATGAATAACTCTCTGACAGCAGATATTATCTATTATCAAAATGATCTATTTCAAGCCTTGCTTACACCTCAATCACCTTGGACTAAAGTGAAAGGGTGAAAAAGGCAATAAAACTGAAAGAAAACTTTATCACATATATTACTAAATATGATTTATATTATATTACATGTTTAACTAATTGTAGCCTTTGTACATTTTTGGATTATTTATTTTTAATCTGTTTAGCAACAAAATAAAATTAGTAACAATTTTCTGTTAGAATCATATAGGCTACTAATAAATGCCTTCAGTTATTGAAGTTTCACTTTCTGCCTCGGCTAATAAAAGTTAGATACTGTAAATCAGCAGCTGCACTGACCAATTACTGGAGGTTTATCTGCTTATGAAAGTGAAATCAAGCTTGAACTGTAGTGTTTTCTTCTTGTGCAGTGTATATTATAGACCGCGTACACAGAGAGTTAGAACTCAGAAACACATTTATTTAACAGAACACAAGCAGCTCCAACTGCTAACCATCACATGTGTTTCAGTCTCACTCACTGACTCCGTAGAACCCACGTAGGTAAACCAAGGTGGCTCTCTAGTGGAGTCAATACGCAATAACATTATAAGTGCATATAATTCTACACCACATGAAAATGAAAGTGAAAGCATTCACTAACTCATGATTCAGCATTTAAACATCAAGCAGCAGCCCAAACCTCTCTCTGCGTCTCAAGATACAACTAGTGAGTAACCTACTTTGTTTTACTTTAATTTACTTTAAACAATTTCCCAAGTATACCACTGTCAAATGTGTTAGCCTTGTGTGCATGTGTTTATGAGGTTTGAAAGTGAATTCACACCGATCGAACCTAGAAAAAAACTAGCTTGCTTAAAAAAGCACACTGTGTTTTTCCACGACAATTAAATTGCGCAACTTGCTCTCCACAAGCTTAACAGCATACCAGTGCTGCTGCACTGTAGGCTCAATATTAATCCAAGATAGAGAGAGGGAGAGAGGTTATCCATGCGTGCACTGTAGGGTACCGTCCAAAGCAGACCGTGGGTCTCTACCATCACAGTGCAGTTGTGTCGGGGGCCAAGCTCTGACATTGCAGGCTACCACAGAGTATAAATGTCTTAAAGCATGTACTAAAACTTTGAGTGCATAAAATCGCAATATGTGAGATATTTTGAAGTGCTGTTTTCATGTGCATTTTTAAAAAAAATTGTACTCTTTATACTCTAAACCAGTTTATCCTTTTACTTTGTACACAGGCTGAACAATGGATAAGTTCATAGGAGATTTTCAGAGACGTCTTCATAAGGAAGTATATGGCCTGAGGGAGGTCACTATCCTTGAGCATTGTGGTTTCATAATGTATTTCTGCCTCATTACTTCTCGTGCTGGAACTGACATTGATGCTGCAATCAGGAATCTTATGCTTGTGCAAGGTCACTTACCAATTTAAAGCTTGATTTATTATGAAACACAATTTTAACTGATTATTTACTGTGCACTTTTAATTGCCTTGCAGCTGACAAACAAGTCATCATTGCTGTGCTTTATCCTACAATTGACCCTGAGAAAACCATACCAGACAGCAACAATGCTATAAAGAAGGAGAACACATATCTAGTCGACTTTCTGTTCAATGAGGATGAAGGGTTCATGAATTGTCAGAAGAACAAAGATGCAATCAATAAACTTGCAAGACACATCAAGTCCATGGTAGGACTGCTTAACACCATGGCTATTGTTATGGCATTTTCTCAACTATAATTTATTAACAAACATAGAGTAGTTTTATATTATAATGGTTTTGATGCATTCTCTTGATTTATTTTTTGGAGATGTTGTTGTAGATTAATTATTATCTAGTGTTATTGCATTAACCGTAAGTTTTAAAATCATGACTGTTGTTGTCTTTAAAATAGATTTTTCTCTTTTTGTTGTTTTAATGCATACATTTTTATAATATTTATTTCCAATTCAGAATCTGACTTCATATTACTTGCAAAGTAAGTATTCCAAGTTATATTAAAATGTATTAATTATACAATTCTTAAAACAAATGAGGAACGTAAAGGAATATTTTTTTAGTATCTTATATTAAATGTGCTTCATATTTTTCTCCAAAAGATTATGGAATTCCACGTACATACCAGAATGGAGAAGATTCTCTTGTGCCCATCGGAGCCGGAGGACACCGAATTCGAAAAAAATGTGTTATTTTTCTTTTTCTCATTGTTATTATCATTCTCATCATTTGCTTCATTATTTTTTGGACAGTTTTAAGGCATCATGTTGATACTAACGATATAAATAATTACAGAAATGACACTGTAAAAAAGTATAACAGTTTCTGAAAAAGAAAAAAAAGACAGCTGTGGATGCCAGAAGACCATAATTATAGGAGCAATTTGTAAGATTTTACAGATTTAAATTTAATTAACAAAGTACCGGAATTCACTAATAACAACTCATTAAAGCACTAATATATGAAAGTCACATGATAAACCCAAAGCTAATTACAATTTTAGAAGTGAATTTCAGCAGTGATTGTCACTAAGCTTCATATAACACACTGCATGAAGATAATTGAACTGTGAATGTAAGTGTGTTTTTGAGATGTATTACAATACACATGAAGTTCACAAACACTTTTTAGGATTTGCATGTAGCATGTAACTATTTTGTTTGCAGAAATATACATGCTGTGCTGTTTACCCCAGATATGACCACTTTTTTTTCCGCATTTTCGCATAACTCCTTATTTAGATCTTTAAGTTTGTAAAAGGAATTCCATTGCTAAAAACACTTATACTAAACTGGATTAGCTTTTAGTAATTACATTATGTTAGTTATGGTGAAGAGATATTATTCATTCTGTTATGTCTTTAAATATTACTATGAACGATGACAAAATGCTTTTTGAGTAACTTTTGCTTTATGCTAATTGCTTTGCTCAGCCCTTTACAGTTTTGAATTGTTACAGTAAGTTTGTTATAGAGGAATCATCAACCTACGTCACACATGACGTCACACGGGCTCCCGGTTGCAAAAAGAGACCAATTGCAATAGCAAACATGTTGTTTTGTGGTAGGATGCCAAATTAGAAAATCCAAAAATAGAAATCTTAAACTTTACCATACACCACACTGATTTTAATGCCAACCGCAGACGTCTTTGGCTAAAAGAGAGCTGAATGGAGTTAGAACCTATTAAAAATGCTCGACTCTGCAGTTCTCATTTCAAATCAGGTAAAGTTTGTGCCATGCTGAATCATATGCATTAGTAGTTTTGATTGCAGCAATGATTCCAGCAAAAACAGTTAAATATGGTTAATTAATCTGCGGACACTGAATGCTAAGAAGGAAACGTGAAAGTGTACAGGTGCAGTTCGCTGTCAGAATGCAGTCGTTTTACTTGTTGATGATTTATTACCCGGGCCTTGAACAGTTCCGTCTTATTTCTTTGTCTTTGGCAAAGGCAGAACCTTGGTTTTTATTACTACATAGTTTTGAATCTGGTAATCATGGAAAATTATTTCTTGCACATAACCACACAGAACAAAACTTTAGGCCTTTAACTTCTCTCTTGTGAAATCACTTAGAGCTTCAATGAGATTGTATATTTGGGGCTGGATGCTTGGCCATTGTGTTTTATCCAATATCCATTGGGAGGGTGCTATCGCAAATGGACTTGTCAGACATAAGCACTCACTTTATCGTTAATTTTGCAGAATGTGCTTATCACTGGTTGACAAGCTGTTATAATACGCTGAAAGCATTATGTAAATAATATATATGATATGTAATCAATATAACTTATCTTTAATACAAGAAACTCTGTACCGCATCAGATGCCATTCCCTCGCTGTAAATTCTAGCGATCCAAGTTTTTTCTGCAACCTCTCTGCGCACGCATCCTGAATGTTTATAAACAGGGTAATTCCTCTATAGTCTAAGAAGAAAAGAAGTTTATAAGTCAAAATATCTTCTCTGTCAAGTGTCATTTAAGGACTCTAATAAAAGATTACATGTTTACAGTGCATTGTGGTAATGAATTGTCATTTTAAATTTTTACACTTTGCTGTTATCTTTAAAACCACGAAGTTTTACCCATTTATCAGTAAGACAATTTCTAGCATTTAAAATCTTATACAATATATGATCACTTATTGTTTTATGTTAACTATTGCATGTCATAAGTGTGTTGTATCAATTTTAAATAAATGTTATGCTGAATGCTAAATAGATGTTTAATATTCTTTCTATGCATATAAAAAACACTCTTGTAAAATGAATTGGCTTCAGCTATCAGAATGGGACGTTTCATTTTTAATCCAATGAATTAAGCAGTTTCCACTGTTTAACTTCTGCATTTGTCTTAGGATATGTACTGTTTAAAGTGGTTAGTTTTCAGTGGCTGGTGTTTTACAGATAAATTGGAAAGACTTTGAGCATTGGGCATCGTTCAGCTTCCCAGATGCAGTTAATTCCCCACAGTCTTCCTTGTTTAAAACATCATTAGGCTCTCCTGGTTCCCAATGACTGTAAATAAAAAACAAACAAAATGTAATCAGATATAATTACAGATAAAAAAAGCACTGTGCTATGCCAAACCACCAGTATGAAAACACAATGCTGAAAAACACTGAATTAACAACAGACCCCAAAAAAAGTTCCTCAAAATGTAAAAGATTTAAATAAACTTAGACTTGACAACTTAACTAAAAACAAGGTTGTACACCACCTTTTTTTTTTTTTTTTTTAAGAATGTATAAAAATGTATGCTGGTTGAATAAGGGACTGTCAATAATGTTTCTTTATCGAGAGGAACACAAAAGTTGCAACATTTTCAAAAACTTTTTACATGCCTGCTGTTCATGACGTATGGCTTTCCATCAATCCATCTCCACTGGCTGGTAATTAAATCTGTAAGTCCAATCCAGTAAGATTCAGATGTAAGAATAGCGTATTGCACAAAATAGTCCTGAATGAAGAAAACAAAACAGGCATTAGATGAGATCATATAAAGTTGATCTGCTATTTTCTTCATGTTAGTTTGTGTCTGTGTTACTAACCCACTCCCTGCTGTCATTCCCCAGGATGAGCAGCAAGCTGTCTATCCCATTACAGTATGAGCGTGCCTTTGGCCAGGTCAGTTTAGTGCTGGGTATCAGGTAGCAGTTGGATAGGAAATGTTGCCACCCTGCTTTACATCTCAGAACAGGTTTATCTAAATGAGAAAAACAGTTTTAGATTTGTAAATTAATTTGACAATATCATAAAGTCTTGTTCTTTTACTATTTACAGCTTTAACTAAACTTGGTTGGTGGATTACTACGTGAAAATACCTGCTGAGAATAGTTATTTGACAAACCCTATTTAACCTACAGCTAAACTAGTTTTCATTGACCTCCTGAAAGATGATTTGTTTTTTTAGTTTTTTGTTACTTGTAATAGCTCCACACGGCTTGAACTGTATCTGCTTAACTCTTTACACATATCATGTCTAAAGCCACATTGAAAATGCAACACTTGACAATTTCTTTATGTATTTAAATGCCTTTGAGAGGGTGATGCAGGTAGTGCTGTCGCCTCACAGCAAGAAGGTCGCTGGTTCAAGCTTTTGGCTGGATCATTTGGCATTTCTGTGTGGAGTTTGCATGTTCTCCCTTCATTCGCGTGGGTTTCCTCCTGGTGCTCCGGTTTCCCCCACAGTCCAAAGACATGCAGTACAAGTGAATTGGGTAAGCTAAATTGTCCGTAATGTATGAGTGTGAAAGAGTCTGTGTGGATGTTTCCCTGAGATGGGTTGCGGCTGGAAGGGCATCCGCTGTGTAAAAACATGCTGGATAAGTTGGCGGTTATTCTTCTGTGGCGACCCTAGATTAATAAAGGGACTAAGCTGACAAGAAAATGAATGAATGAATGAATGAATGAACGCCTTTGTGAGCTTGTGATAGTTTGTCCTTGCTATGGGCATCGTCAGCTGTTGCTACTGTTCCTACACACGTGCGGGGGTCAAGTTTCGAAACAGTTCAGCTTTTGCCGCTGTGTAAATTAATAGTGAATGTGTTTCGTTGTTTTTACTAATGGTTAAGAATAGAGGAATATGCTGGTGTTAGCTACAAATAAATGCTTACTATAAGTGTTTTTTTGACCTTGCATGCATATCAGCCTGTTGTTGGAAACCCCTAAAACCAAAATATGACCTTTTTATATGCATAACAAGGGCTCTTTAAAAACGTGTCAAAATTTGTTTGCAGGACTGCCCTCATGTTAGTTAACTGATGTAAAATATTAGCATTTTTGACATTTTTATGCATTTTTTGTTTTGATATCAAGGAGCCAGTTGGGCTGCTCTACATCTGTGATTTTCTAAAATACTGCATTTTGCATTTAGAAAATTTTCTGAGTCCTTTAAAATGCTTCTTGTCCCCAAAAGAAAAATGCATGTGAGAACAATATAATGAGAATATTAAGTGGCCAATCAGACCCATCTCTGCAACTCTGCATTACTCACCAATTCAACTCTGAAGAGGGTAGGGATTCATATTTAAGCATACACTAGCTATGTTTTCATCCAAATATGCAAATTAAATTCATGTGCAAAACTGTAATATTGTATAAAACATTTAAGAATAAATTCCCCCCCCCCCCCCCCCCCCAGCCTTTATGAAGGAAGCTGAGACTGCATCACTCAGCGATGTAATGTCAGACACAATGCACTCAAATGGAGAGAGTGACATCACTGTGAGGGGTAGGGTTAGGGGTGGGGGTAGGTGAGTACATTAAAAAGCATTGGATGCAGCTCAGATTGCACTGCACCAAATCTGCATCCAGGCCCCTCTCTGACTTTCTGATAACTGGTGGCAAATATTAAAAAAAGGAAAATGGAATTTGCTGCAATAGTAAAAGCCACTGTTGGTCTCTTTTAAAAAAATTAATTACTTACTTGCACTTCAATGAATGCACAGTGGCTTTTGGAGCGGTAAGACTGCTCTTTCAGGGTACAGGCTCTTAAGACAGTTCTGTGAGGTAGAAATACTGAACCACTTTGATGATAGAATTGACCAAAAATTTTAGGTATTTTACAACGTGGGCTGTCCGCTGTTTTTTTTTATTATTAATGCTGTCCCATTGTGCCTAGTATTGTTTTTACATGGTCTGTTAAACTTAAATGATTTTTTTTTAATCAGCACGCATAAGAAGTTGATTCTGTAGTTGATTCTGTAAATGTGTTTCCATTGTAGATCATTTCCAGTTTTTCCTTATTGGATTAAAAGTTTATTGAAACCACTTGTGCAAATTTACAAACTTTCCATTAAGCATTTTTTATGCTATATTCTAAAATCCACATAAAATATGTTAATGTAAACAATTAAGAAAATTTGCACTGAAAGCCCTGCAATGACCAAAACTTAAACAGTAGAAAGAAACATTAAGGCTTGACTAAACTTTCATAAGGAGCATGAGGATTAAGAGTGAGAGGGCCTGAAAGATGCAGTGACAGTACTTACACTGAGTCAGATTTGCTATCCTGGTCTCCAGATCAGCTTTAAGTTCATTGACCATCTCCATAAGTCTGTCATCTGTACACAGAGATATGAACTAAGCATTCTCACACTTTATATGTAATGCAGAAAATTTGTATTTTTTCCCCATGACCCATTTTACCCAGAAAGTGCTGGTTCTCTTTTTGTGTGTTATTCATTTATTTATTAGCCTTATCTCTTTGCAGCAGATGAAAAGAGCAGCTACATTAAAGAAGTAATTGTTATTTATGTTTGAGTAGATGCATGTTAACATTTAAGTAGTGTAAAGCTATTGAAAAAGAATAGAAATTTAAATCTTCACACAAAATCTTACTTCTTTCTTGTTGGTCTGAAGAAAGCAAAGCAAAACCTGACGTCAGATTGGCCACCTCATTCCCTACTTCAGTGAGTTTTCCATACAGCTGTTTCACTGTAAAAAATAACAAATATTAATATGTTTGCAAAATGATGATTAGAGATTGCTTCCTAACACTTTAGCATTGCATAAACAAGGAAACATTTTATGCAGATTTGTTGTTATTTTACTAC